CCTGCATCATATGAATGTATGAGACCTATAACATAGTGTTTAACTAACACTGTCTGTGTAAGAAAACTAACTTACTGGGATCTTTTGCATATGGTAATGTTCCCATGGGGAATGGACTCTTTCAAACAAGATGATCAGTCACTGCCCAGATGGCGATGGGAGCCTCTGTTGCAAGGGTCCTGGTAACATCATCTTCAGCTGGATCGGATGAGACTCTCTGACCTGCTGTTCTGATGAATTCTTATAATCCAGCTGGCCCCTGGTCCTATGTAGCCACTGCAGTGTATGCACGATCTGTTTCTATTGACTATCTTAAAGTATGTAAAAACATATCTTAACCATGTACAAAAGACTGTCCTACATGACCATTCCTGCATATACAGGAACAGTTTCTACTGACTATTTAAAATTGTCTTATCTATGTACAGTTTGCTCAATTCCTTTACCTACAGTAGGAACTACCTGCAGGAGTACCCAGGACTGCCCAGAATTCTCTGCTTAGGGAGTTTATCTAAGCATACAAATAATACATATCAATTAGTCTATGCACAGCAGGAGTTGCCTGGAGGACTCTCCAGGTCTGTTCAGAATCCCACCCAAAGAGCTCTTGTATCCATTAGTCAGTTGCTCTGTTGGGAAGCCAAAGCCCAGCTAAGAGTTCAGTCAATTATCTTGTTGCAAATCAGTCCATTGCCTCATCTAGGCAGAAACTATCTGGGGAGTTCCCAAACTGTGATGTGCCAATAGAGGGGTGTCTGGGATTCTTTCAGATTCTGGGATTAGTTGCACTGAAATTGAGATCATCATTTGTCAAGTATAAGAATTTATTAGAGATAAGAGGCTATAACAAAGCTAAAAGTATAGTAAAGCTAGAAATATAACAGAACTAAAAATATATACATATCAGAGCTCTATGGTTAAACCACAGATGCACAGTACAATAACCATTCTTGCCCTTTCCTTGTGGGCCATCCCTCCAGTATAGCTTTCCCTGGATTGTTCTCACCATGACCTGTTAACAGGTCATTCTGTGGGGAACTGCACAGCACCTAGATGTTTATGGTGTGAGTCTGTGGTGTCACTTCTCCTTTGTCTTGACTTGTCAATCATGGGGTCCTTGGAGGGTGTTCCCCTAGGCTTCAGCAACCGCAGTGTGGTGACTCTGGCTGTGGTGCACCCTGGATTCATTAACTCTTGGGGAGTACCTCAGAGCAAACCCCTCTTCTATGGGCTGCACCATTTGGAGTCCCATGCTAACCTGTGCAGTGCCTATCACAAACCACCCAAAGAACTGATGACTAAGCGTGCTGGGTATGCATACAAGCACAGCCCTGATAGCCAGCTACATCACAATTGTAACTATAGAGCAAACTTGAATTTCATCCTTATATCACAATTATAACTTCAATTCCATACATTTTTGCCTGAAGAGTAAGGACAGGCTTTAGTTCATCAACATAATAAAAGAATTAGCTGTTAATATTCACAAATAGTTACCAGTGTTACTATTAAGTCACATGAACAAGTACTACCACCTGTAATTACAGAACCATAGAATAATGGAGGTTGGAAGGGACCTCTAGAGATTGTCCAGTCCAACCCCCCTGCTGAAAGCAGGGTCAGCTAGAACAGGTTGCCCAGGACTATATCCAGTCAGGATTTGAATATCTCTAAGGATGGAGAAAAAACAACGGCTCTGGGCAACCTGTTCCACTGTTCAATCACCCTCACAGTAAAAAAGCTTTTTCTTATGCTCAGGTTCAGTTCAGGTTATGTTCAGATTCAGTTTTTTCTCAAGTTCAATTATATAGCAACCTTAGTCAATAGTGAGACCTGTGTTCTTATAGGCTCAGTCTCTAAAGCTGAACATTGTAGATTTTTTTTCAATCTCCATTTTGAAGACATATTTGCTGCCAGAAGAGTCAGATCATAAACACAAAATGTTATGTATGCATAGATTGTACCTCTCCATTCTCCTAACAGAGTAATATATTTTATTTTTAAAATAATTCTAAATGGAGATAAATGTACTGTGATTTTTGTTTAAATGTAGGTCAATATTCAAGCTTTTGCTGTGCCTTTTACATAAGCAACTTTTATAACTGTTACATAAAACTGGCATTTTCTACTTATAAGTGTTTTACATTGCTTATCTTGGGGATGTAGAGAAAGAGCATTATAATGAATTTTGACTCAAGTCTCCTTTAGAATAAATTCACTAATTCAGTAATATTGAAAATATGATCAATATAAATAACATATTTATAACATCAGTCATGAAAAAGCCAAGATTTAATTAAACTTAAATTGAGGAGGGAGGAGGGAAGGGAAAACTCTTCCTGGGGCCAGTCAGATGTGGCCCAGACAGGGGCAGTCACAATGCAAAAGCATGACATCATAATTACAAAATAGTGTTATAGCAGGTAAGGTCCCTTAGTGCTTTTTATTTCAAGAGTCTTTCCTATTGCTTTTAGCTTTGCTATAATGTTACTGTTTGGGCTGAAATTTTTAATTCTGTGGAGTCAGAGACAGCCTGATAGCAATGTCCTTCAGGATACAGACTGTAAAAGTAACTGGAAGGGGCAAAAAGCTCCTTTAACTTTTCACACCCTCCAAAGCAACAGTACGAGTTCTTCATCCTCAATTTGTGACCTGATCTGCACAAATGTATTTTATCTATATTTTTGCTGTTTCTGCATGATGTGGTTGTTTTAAATTTTATTCATTATGTGCCAAATGAATAAAGTTGTTTGACTTTGTCCAGGTGCACACAGTTGAAAGATTTTATTATGATCTGGCTCTGAATAATAAAACAGCACTTTCCTGATGATCAAAAACCCAGTACTGAGCAGGACTTTCTCTCTGCTCCCCATCTGCTGTCTGAAAATTAGTTTGAAATTGAATCAGTTGGAAAATAGCATTGGCTCTAGTAAATCAGACAAATTATGGGATAGCATGGAAGTAATCATAGAGATTGTATACCATGTCCCCAAATTCCAATAGGTTTTAGCACTATAATAATTTACCAAGCACTTGACCCTACTAGCATGTACCTGCCTAAAATACTGTGTATATCTTTTTTTTTAAAAAAGAGCAAAATACGTGTTCACTGTGATTCACAAAAGCTGCTTCAGACAAAATAGTGTTTCTGCACCCATTTAGGTTAGTACAGCTGCATTACTATAGCAAGACAGAGAAACAAAAACATTTCTTCCATATTAAAAAAATACATATAATATATGGAAGGTCTTACGCATTACTGCACAAGTCAAGGAATATTTCATTCTAAATAAGGATGTAATATTTTAGAAAGGTAGAAACAAATCAAAACCATAATACACATTGAATTCAACATTAAGTTATTTTTGTGAAATAGATTCTGTACAGAGATTTGTTTATAATATGTATAGAAGCAGTGCTTGACGTTCAGGAGAGAAGGGGTGGAAATATAATACTTCAGTATGGTTCTGATCTCAGAAAGAGTAAGGAGCAACTGTTTCTTACCTGAGACTTGACAGGTCTGCTAATTTGGAATGCAGAGGTGAGAACCTGACCCAATGGAATAGAGAGTGACAAAGAACTTGCAAAGGAGTGCATGGGGAACATCAACAGCTTTGGGACCGGCAGCAATATTATACTGAAAGTCAAAGAAATTAAAGACTAAGTAGGTGAGGAGATTGTCACAAGGTTTAGGGGGGGTCAAAGAAAAATAGGGCTGGATAAGGGAACAGTTGGACAGTGCACATATGCTTCCATTTTCCAAACAGGGATATTGATAATTAGCTGTTTCTCATTAATGAAGAAGTGAAACTCATCCCTGGGAAGAGCCTCTGCGCAGGGGAATAGACTTCAGCATTACTGAAAACTCTTCTCACTGAATTAATAGACTTAAGTGGTGCATAGCTTTATGCTAGTCATTTCATCTAAATGGCTGTAAAGCACCGAATTGGAGTTAGTTGAGTATCATTATGATAACATTACAGGAGCTAAGCACCAACAAGATTTGAGAAATTCCAGAGTCAGGGTTGAATATCACATCTCAAGTCTATCTTCACATATTTAAAGTATACATATATTTCAGTTTTCTCTCTCATTGATTAGAAAGAGCCATTACAATATTTTAGATGATCTGTAACAATGTTATGGTCTGTGATGCCTGACCAAGTTCATCTTACTTTTGAGAGATAAGGGAGCAAACATAAGCATGTACAAAGAGTAGCATTCTAAGTTTCTGGGCAAACTACGTGCAACTTTTTGAGTTACTTTCTGGTTACAGACTTGAAGATCTAAGGTACAAAAGTGTCATAAATACATCCTGAAGCACGCACATCTATTCATCGGTTAAGTAAAAAGTTGATGAAGAGGGTTGAAGACCTAAGTCATGAAACACTGTAATTAGCAGAATGCAGCTAATGAATGTAATGCTAACAGAATTAGTCACACCTGGCTCTAAAGATGGTATTCTATACTGCATGCGAGTCTTTTTGCCAAAATAAAAGTTGTTTGGATGAAAAGTAATTGCTTAACTACTACTGATCCTTGACTCTCTTGCTTTTTATTCTTTGCAAAGCTTGCAACGGAGTTTCACGTTGGTGTTCTGGTTATACCCTACTTTGAGGAGGAGATCTCTTACAAATGGCCCCTGAACCACCCAGTACTTTCTTTTCCTCAGTGCCCCAAAAGTATACTCTCAAAGGCGGGTAGCCAACCTAAACTATCACTAGCGATAACCAGTGCCCTTCAGAGGTAGCAGACAGGGAACATGGCTTTGCACCCTGAAGGGAAGAAATGACACAGCCCCTGAAGCAAAGATGAAGCCACCTCAGCCAGAACATGCCTTCCCCCCCCCACCCCCGGCAGTCCAGGATCAGTGCTTCACAGGGCAGATTTTTTCGTTGGTTTCTGCACAGTTGTCGTCTGGGGGCAGCTCCCTCCCAGGTAACAGCCTGTGCAAGAAGGTCAAACTCGCTACGGCCAGTATGTCACAACCAGTGTCTGGGATGGAGAAGTTGCTAGACGAACATTGCAGCATCTAATGCATGCTCACCATCTTTTCCTTCCTACCTTGCCTGAACACAGCCGCCGCCACCTCCTCTGGAGAAGTGCTTCTCTTTCCCCTATTCCCAACAGTGCCAGATACAACATCCCCTCCTCCCCCTCCCCAAGCAGCAGCCCCGAAAGAAGGAATGAACTATTTCATCTGCTCTAAAGGGGAAGAACGCAAATTAGGGTCTCTTTCTTTACCTACTCTTACACAAGAAGACAATATCGCTTCTTTCTTATATCCTTTAGCCTCTTACACACCCACACGAGGAGGGATTAAACTCCTTTTAGCAGGGCTTATTTTTTCTTTCTCTTTTTTGTTTTTTTTTCCCCCTCCGGTTGGTATCAACCAGCTTTTAAGAGGGAGGGAATGCAGTGGTATTTTCTACTGCAGGCTGAAGTGAACTGTGGGATTGGACACAAGTGTATAGTAGAGAGTAAAACACGAGACCGCTATGGTTAAAGCTATGGGGGGAAGGGCGAGCACAATTTTTTTCCTCCACCCTGGTCTCATTCTGGCGCATGCGCATACGTTTGGGGTGGGGGCAGGCAATACGGCGGGAGTGCTGTTGCTCTCAGAGAAGCTTTAGTGGAGGGGTGTGTGTATATGTATGTATATATATAGTGCGTATGTATTTATGTATAAAAACACATATCGTATACATGTGTGTGGTATTGGTTACATGGGGAAGGGGAGTGAGCAGGCACGAGTTGGGGG